GTCTACATTTTCCTATGGCTCAGTGAGCTTCTTTAAAATGGTTGTTTGAATTCTTTGTCAAGCAGTTCATGGATTTCTATTTCTTTAGAAGTTTTTGATGATTTTTCAGTTTCCTTTGACAGTTTCACATTTGATTTTCTTTTTTTAGTAGTCCTTGGATTCTTGCATGTGTGCCTGCATTTCAGAGAAAAGTTACTACTTCCGGTTCTTTACAGATAGATTTTGGCAGATAAAGACCTTCTCCTGCCTAGTCCCAGGACTAACAGAATTTTCTCTGGGACTGTAGACAGTCCAGTAGGGCTGGAGCTGGGCAGTGGTGCTGCTTCCATTTCTACAGTTGGGTCTATAGTTAGCAAGCTCGTTTCTGAAGGTGTAGGTGGTGTGGCTCCTGTTGGGATCCTAGACAGTTGGATCTTCTGTTATAATCATGGACAAATAGCATTGAAGTCAAGTTCACTTGGGGATGGAGCTGCATGTGGGTCTGAAACTGGGGTCTGCAGAGGCAGGATTGCTTCTGGACATGGGCCTGCCTTGTGAAAGTAGCTTTTTGTTCTTGATTTCCACCAACATGTCACAGTCTTCTACCTTAGTCCCAAGGTTCCCATGGATAGTTGCCAAATTCTGTTAGAGGGAGTAAGGACTGGGAACATCCTATTATGCCATCTAGCTGATGTCACCCCTTCCCATTTTTATGGCTGAATAATATTCCATTGTATGGATATATTACATTTTGTTTATTCATTTTTTTCACTTGGTGGGCATTTGGGCTATTTCATATTTTGCTATAATGAATAATACTGTTACGAACATTTATGCACATGTTTTTGTGTGGGCATATATTTTCAGTTGTTTTGAATACATTTGTAGGAACAGAATCGCATAGTTATCTTTGGAATTTTAAACATTTCTCAACAGAAAAATTTGTGTGCAACCTTGGTTAAGCAATTCCTCTAAGACTGAGGTTGCTGTTACCTTCTGAGACGTTTCTATAACAGGGTACTTCAAAAAGTTCAGGAGAAAGTGGAGTTAAAAGGTAAGTTTATTTTGATGCAAAATAATTGAACTCCATGCATGTATTTTTTCATAATCACATTTCTATGAACCTTTAAAGGACCTCATATGAATGGATTTCATTTTTATTGCACCAGAATAAACCGATCTTTTAATTCCACTACTCCCAGTTTTTGAAGTCCCCTTGTACTCTACTCATTTAAAAACTATATAAGCTGGGGCCGGCACCAAGGCATAGTAGGTTAATCCTCCGCCTGCGGTGCTGGCATCCCATATAGGTGCCGTTCTAGTCCCGGCTGCTCTTCTTCCAATCCAGCTCTCTGCTATGGCCCGGGAAAGCAGTAGAGGATGGCCCAAGTCCTTGGGCCCTTGCACCCATGTGGGAGACCAGGAGGAAGCACCTGGCTCCTGGCTTTGGATTGGCGCAGCGCGCCGTCCGTAGCAACCATTTGGGAAGTGAACCAATGGAAGGAAGACCTTTCTCTCTGTCTCTCTCTCACTGTCTGTAACTCTACTTCTCAAATAAATAAATAAAATCTTTTTTAAAAACTATATAAGATAACTGAAGTTAAACATAGCTTATGGCCAACGCTCCCTCATGAACTTCTTCAGACTTCCCACTCTGTTCTCATAAACACGTGGGAAAAGATGGAATTGATAGACTCCAGGAGCAGCATAAACTCTATGGGAATAACCAAACTTCCCCAACTAGGCTTCCTGGCTTTAGCCGGCTGTATGATTCTTCCTGATGTTCCCCACAACTCAGAGTGAAAGGAGGGAGAAAGACAGTATCTTCACCATCTGCCAGTGAAGATAGTAAGGTTGATACAGTGGTTAAGGGCAGAGTTTCATTTATTTAGTTGAGTGATAATGTGTAGAAAACAAAGAAACAAAGGGAAGAGAAGAAATAGTGACTCATTTTAAAATCGAAATAAGAGCAATTGCTGTACAGGAAATTATCTAAGATATAATTGAATAAAATGTTCCCAACTTTAATAAAACTGTAAATATATATTTGTGGGTTCCAGAAATATCAGCAGAAACTACCTGCAGAAATACCCATTCTGGTAAAAGTTTGTGTGAGAAAAGGTTCTAGCAGCATCCAGACTAAAAGATTCTGTTCCCTCTACAGAGACAAACAGTAAACTTCAGCATCACTCTCTTATGAAGCAGTGAAGGCTCCAGGACAGTGGGGCACTGGATAGGCAGTTTTGAAAATATTGTAAACTCCTTAAGAATTTTGTGCCCACTCATAGCTAAGTTGCTGCTACAAAAATAATTAATAATAAAACATCGCTTTTCTAAAAGGGAATAATTGTTATCAACAACAAAGGTCCATGTCTCATATTTTTTCTTGTACCTTTGGAGACTATATTGAATAACTTCTTCATATTATCTTCACATTGTGTAAGGGTTTTTTTTAAGTAAATGAATTATATCAGCTTATATATAAAATATTATCTCAAGCATGATAAAAATAAAAACCATTGTAAAGAAGACAAAATATTATCAGTGACAGGTGGTGAGAGTCAACATGGTCATTTAAAAATATTTTCTAATATTTTCAAAATATCCTGCTATCTACATAAATTATTTTTCTTAACCACTTTAAAATTAACCAAAACTTTATATCTAATAAATATTATAAACCTAATAAGGTTGTTACAGGCAATTTTACACGAGGGTGCTTCAAAATATTCACAGGAAATGAAATTAAAATTATATTTTTGTACAGAAGCTTTTGCAGGATTTTCAAATTGTTCATGGAAAATGTGCATTATGAAAGAACTGTGCATGGATTTCAATATTTTTTTTTGTACCAAAGTAAACATGTTCCGCGGATTGTCATTGGCAGGTGCATCTATCAGTGTGTTAGGACACAGAGGGATTTTCAACATATATTTAGGCAATATCTCAACAGCTAGTTATTGAGTACCTACCCTGTGCCATGTGCTGAGAGTGCAGTGAACAGCTCAGGCATAGTCCCTGTTCTTACAAAATATAACATTCAGTATTTGAAAACTGTTGAAGAAGCTGTCAAGGGCTCGGTGGGTGGGAACACGCAATAGAAGCAACCAGGCTTGTCAAGAGGAACAAGAAAGGCTTTCAGAGGAAGTGCGGTATCAGAGCTAGCCAGACGAGAGGTGGGCAGTTGTCCCTGGGAGTTGAAATAGCCTTTTCAGAGATCTGGAGGTGAACTCTGTGTGGGGAACCAGAAATAGCTGAAAGGAATAGAAACAAAGAGTTTGATGCTGGAGAGTGACGAGTGGTAGAGAGTGATCAGTAGCTAGGACATGAAAGACCTTGTATGCCAAGTTACCAAATTCCGATTTGTGTCCTACAGGTGATGAGAACCCATTTGTAGGGGTGCAAGTTTCCTAGGTACTGTAACAAATTGCCATAGGCCCAGTGGCTTAAAGACAGCAGAAACGTCTTCTCTCATGGATTTGGAGGCCAGAAGTTCCAGATGTGGCCAAGACCATTCCTCTGGAGGCTCTGGGGGGGAGTCTGTCCTCCGGGCTTGTGATGGCCAGCAGTCCTTGGAACTCCACAATCAGAGGCTTCGTAACTTCCAGTTCTACTCCTGTCTTCATCGACCTCCATCTCTCTGCCTCGTCACCTTTTCCATTGGGTGAGGGCGCTCACTGTGGGATTTAGGGCCCACCCTAGTTGAGGATGATCGCATTTCAAGACCCTTCAAGACCCTTACCCTTCTTACATTTGTGGAGACCTTTACGTCATGTCACCTTCTGAGATCCGGGGTGAGGATGTGATTTTTCAGACCACACTTGAACCCACTGCCAAGGGTTTTAGGATGCGTTTCTCAGAAATTACTTTCCATGTTAAGTGGCACATGACTATGGCTGATCAGGAATGATGGATGAGACGCAGCAGAAGAGAGTGGGAATCCAGGGCTTGATAGCACAGAGCAGTGTATCTTCCCACATGTGACCATTCCTAGGTAGTGTAACAGCTTTGGAAAGGTGGTGATGAGGAGGAGGATGGTTGCTCCTGTTGGAGGATTCTGTGTGCCACGTGCCACACATATTACCTTCCATGTGTTACTGCACTGAATCCTTGATGTAGCCATATGCATTTTCTCCTTTTATAGTTTAGGAAATGAAAGTCCAGAAAGGGTAAATCATTTGCTGAAGGCCATGCAGATAGTGAGTGGTGGAGTGTGATTGTAGCCCAGGTACTGTGACTGCTGAACCATTACCTATAGCTGCGACTAGTGAGTGTGACCACATGTATGACGTGGGCATGTTTTTTTTTTTTTTTAACCAAGGTATATGTTGGTTTTGATAGCAGGCACTGCTATCATTTTTCAGACTATGAAACTGTTATCTTGCGTGCCATTTTTGTTTTGTTCTTCCATTGCCTTGCCGCCAGATAAACTCAATGAGACAGTATGATTTATTTCTTTATCTTTTAATGGTGTTGGAACTGGTTTGATTCCTCCTTTCTCTATTTATCTGCATGGTAGTATGAGGTGGATGTTGTCTATTTATACTGTTAAGATTTCATTTCATTTTATTTATTATTTAAAGAGATTTATTTATTTAGTTGAAAGGTAGAGTTACAGAGAGGCAGAGGCAGAGAGAGAGAGAGAGAGAGAGAGAGAGAGAGAGAGAGGTCTTCTGTCTGCTGATTCACTCCCCAAATGGCTACAACAGCCTGAGCTGAGCTGATCTGAAGTCAGGAGCCAGGAACTTCTTCTGGGTCTCCCACATGGGTGCAGGGGCCCAAGTTCTTGGGCCATCTTCCACTGTTTTCACAGGTTGTGAGTGGGGAGCCAGATTGGAAGTGAAGCAGCCGGGTCCCGACCTGTGTGACCATGCCAGCCCTGAAAATCAAGACTGTAAAGAAATTTTCCAATTAAGAAAATTAAGACAAGATTCCGGAAAGCTTTGATCATTTGCTAGAACCGAAAGTTGGGTTACTGTAATCATGATGACATTTATTTTTCTTTTGTGTTCTTTTGTCAGTCGTTCCTGAAGCTGTTGGGCTTTTACATGCTGTTGGAGTAATAAAAACTCTTCTGTCCGTCCTCTTCCTCTTCATCCACAAGAAAGAGGGTTTGAAAGGAGAGGAGGCCATCCATGCCTGGAGCAACGAAGTGGAAGAGAAAACTCTGAACACAAGAGTGGGGTCCGCCCAGGGCTGGGTGAGCATTGCACTTCCAGTTCTGCTGAGCTTGGCAGTTGCTGTGGTGTGGTTCAGGGAAGGACTGTCACCGTTTCCAGGATGAGCCCCATTACGAAGTCACCCATGAGATGCGTGGCAGCTGGTGGGGTGGACATGATGAATGGACATTACTAAAGGGTCCATTATCTGTATGAAAGGAACGTTGGTTTTAAAGCTTGAAGAGCAGACCGGGAAAAAGCTGACCATTTCCCGTCTTTTCAGCCTTGAAAATGTCTGTGCTGCATTCCCCTCTGACTCACGTTTGCAGAGAAACACGCATTTTGATTGACAAGAGCCTTGATGTGTTTTAGTCTCCTGGTGTTGGAGCAGTGTTGACATTTTACTTGTCAGCTGTTTTCGAGGTTTATTTTTTGTCTCTGGACCCCTCCCCACCTTGAAGCCCAGTTTTACAGGGAAAAAATAGCACACTTACAATAATTGACTGCCTGCCCTTTATGGGCACTTTCTATTTCTATTTGCTGGAATGTTGAATGTTGGGATACAGGATGCTATCCTAGAGGGAGGATCATGAGACATGGCAGCAGGGCATTGAAAGGCATCACTCTTGTCTTACAGGGCAGCTTTGCTCTTGTAGAGTGGTCAGATCCTCTCCTTCCACTCCCATACCCTGCTGGCACTGTTGTGAGCAGGCCCACGGCCTTGGAAAGAACCTCCTCCCATCACCTTATCCCTTGGGTGTATTCTAGACCAAGGAGAATATCTGGATTATTGATACAGCAGCTTTTATAGTTCATTCAGCTTTTTTATTTTGCCTTATTAGAAAAAAGGTCATAATTTAGGAATAAGGGCATTGTATCTATTGCTTCATAATAAATGATCCCAAAACTAAATTGTTTTAAGCCCATGAATATTTATCATCTCCCAGTTTTTGAAGTTCAGGAGTCTGGGAGTGGCTTGATGTGGTTGTCCTGGATGAGGGTCTCTCATGAGGCCACAGCTGGGGTCAGCTGGAGCCTCTGTCTTCTGAAGGCGGTACTGTGGCTGGAGCATCACTTCCAGGAGAGCAAAAAGCCTCCCTCCTTGTCCACAGGAAACCCTCCGCAGCTCTCCTTGAAATCTTCGCCTGGGGTGAGAGATACATGGCAGAATGAGGAGGAGCCACAGTTCTTTGGCCAAGTCTGGGAAACCACACACTGTCCCTTCTGCCACTTTGTGTTCATTCATTGAATATGCCTCCTGGGCAAGGGAAGGGAATTAGGTCCTTCTTGCCCAGAGGAAGAGTACCGAAGTGTGTGTGGACAAACTTTACAGTCGCTGTAGGACGTGGTCAAGAAAGGGGTATATGTTGCAGAGCTGACCGTTGCTTTGGCACTGCTGTTGTAGTGAGATGAGTTTTTGAGCCCTGCCTGGGGCCTCCGAGTCATCTCTGAAAATAGAATGGAATACTTTAGAGTTTGTCATGTCAAAACTGAGGCTCACGAATGGTGTAGCCACTGGGGTTCCAGCTGGGGCTTAAGTGAGTAGGGTGAATGGCTTCTGCTTGGCTGTGGGGTGGTGGTCGTGGGATTGTACTTCTTCCCTCTGAAGCTGTGGCCTTGGCAAGTTATGCAGTCATTCTGAGCTTCAGCTTCTCCATTTTCCTGTTAGAATTATTAATCCAGGTCTCACCGCGTTGATCTAGATGAAATGAATTAGCTCTGCAAAGATGCCAGCATGGTGCCTACAGTGACAGTCCTAGAACTTTAACCAGGGCTGTACAGCATTCCTAAGTCATGGCCGTGGCTTCCAGGAATGACATCACCCATTAGTATGTTGCATCCATTGCTTAAATTGGGAGATTAAAATCAGTGTTGTTTTCTCCTTTGCAAACTATGATGAGTACAAAAAACTAAGGTTAGAGCTATTTAAAATGCTTCCTTTTTGTCTTGTTTGACATGCTATTGGAGTATTTTAGAGATAATTGTGAATTATACTTGCAAATAAGTTGAGGTTTGACAATTATGTTGAAACAATAACAATAAAGCAGGAACCAGAAGCTATTAGCTCAAGAAACACTGAAAAATACACCTCTCAAACTCAGAATGGGGTGCAATGAAGGGAGCTTCACAGTTTATTCAGGCAACTCTTCAAATTCTAATGCCTGAGAAAGCAGACAGCTTCATTTTGACATTTCTCCTTGTAAAGGTTTAATAATCATTGATCAAAAGTCTTTGAAAAACATGCTTGTTTCCCAGATTTTATCTAACCTTTGATATTTGCCTTAATTATCAACCTCAGAGCGCTGATTTCTCGGCGAGGTTGGAATGTTCTTAACGACTTTTGACAAATGTGAAAGCAGTAAGGTGGCGGCGGGTGATGAGAGCTGGGTTGTGCCACTAATTGGCTGTGGTGTTTTGGGAAGCTCACTTCACCTCTGTGTGTCTTACACCCTCATTCGTGAGTTGATGAGTCTGGACTAGGTTTCTCTCCATTCTCATTCTGTGATCCTGTTTGGGGGGGTGGTGGTTTCTGGGTTGCCATAGCAACCCCTCCTGCATTCAGTCTATGAATGGGAGAAGACTAACAAAATTATTAAAAATCACCTAGATTATCCTACTTCTAGATTGAAGCGTGCAAAATTGCTGCTTTTGTAGATTGCAGATGACGGAGTATCAGCAACCTAATTAATCATTGTCACCTAATGTATGTGAGGTTCTGGACAATAAAATAATTCTTTTTGCTTATGTGGTAATATCAAGGAGGCAAGACTGATAATTTATTTTCTGAACCTACTATACAAAATCATTTATTTGGCAAAAATACCTTGCCTTCCTTTAGGCAATGTATTTTTCAGAGTTCAGAGAATAAGTGACACCAATCATTCTATCTGGATTTAGGTGAAGGGAGACAGGAAGTGAGATGGTGTTCTCCTAATGATCTGGGTGGTAATGATGCAGGTGATAATTGGTAGCTATTGTTTCTCTAGCATTTATTATTGCCATGGACCTGCTAAGTACTTTACATGCATTCTTTGGTTTCTTTATGCAAAGTGCCGGGTTGTTCATTGGTAGTAATTGCTTTGGAGAACAGGTAGATTCCACTTGGAAGCAAGAAGCTTTTGTCTAACCTTGAGATTAAAGAAATTGATTAAAGTGCCCGGGCGCTGTGGCACAGCAGGTTAATGCCCTGGCCTGAAGCGCTGGCATCCCATATGGGCGCTGGTTCTAGTCCCGGCTGCTGCTCTTCTGATCCAATTCTGTGCTATGGCCTGGGGTAGCAGTAGAAGATGGCCCAAGTCCTTGGGTCCCTGCACCCTTGTGTGAGACCTGGAGGAAGCTTCTGGCTCCTGGCTCCAGATTGGCGCAGCTCTGGCTGTTGCAGCCAATTGGGAGTGAACCACTGGATGGAAGACCTCTTTCTCTCTCTCTCTCTCAATCTCTCTCTCTGCCTCTCCTCTCTCTGTGTAACTCTTTCAAATAAATAAATAAATCTTTAAAAAAAGAAATTGATTACAAATCCCACAGTGAGGGAGTGGTGTAAAGGCACATGGGGTGTGGGGAGTGGAGATCCCAAAGTCTGATTATTCATCCCAAATAGAGTCATCTGAGTTACTTCAAGAGGGCAGATTTAAGTTTCGTTTCTCAACACTGAGTGTGGGGACATGGAGGAGGGACTCCAAAGGAAGATGACAGGGACAGGGAGAGGAAACGAGGGCTGACTTTGGTACATTTGAGCAAAGTTGGTGCTCAGTGGCAAGGAGGTGCCAGACGGTGCTCAGGGGTCAGGAGCCTGGAATGAGGTCACTTCTTCCTACCACTTGCTGGAGTGGCCTGGTTGACCGATCTCTCCCCAAGCCCACTCTATCTCCCTACCTGAAGCTGAACAGTTACCTTCTATCCCAATGGGGGACACGTGCCTGCTCTAGCGATTCCTTCTGCCTGGGCCCTCACGGCTGCTGTGGTCACATACTTAGTGCATCTCCACATTTAGTTTGCAGTTATGTTCAAGTACAGGTTTCTGGCAACACAGTTCTAACTAAGTGCTGTTATCTCTGCTTGCAAATGAGAACCCTGAGGTTTAGAGAGATGACTCCCCACCCCCATCCACCCCATGCTATTAAATGGCAAAGCTGGGACTCAGTCTTGAAATGGCCTCAGTTGGCCATTGCTGTGGCTCACTTGGCTAATCCTCCGCCTGCGGCGCCGGCACCCCGGGTTCTAGTCCTGGTCAGGCGCCAGTTCTGTCCTGGTTGCTCTTCTTCCAGTCCAGCTCTCTGCTGTGGCCTGGGAAGGCAGTGGAGGATGGCCCAAGTGCTTGGGCCCTGCACCCACATGGGAAACCAGGAGGAAGCACCTGGCTCCTGGCTTCGGATCAGTGCAGCGCACTGGCTGCAGCAGCCATTTGGGGAGTGAACCAACAGAAGGAAGACCTTTCTCTCTCTCTCTCTCTCTCTCTCTCTCTCTCACTGTCTAACTCTGCCTGTCAAAACAAACAAACAAACAAAAAACAAACAAAAAACAAAAACAAACAAACAAAAAAACAAAACAAAAACAAAACAAAAAAAACCCACCAAAACCCTCCATCCAGAGGCCAGGGTCTTCCTTGCCATATTTTTCTTCCTGATAAGTCTCAATTCCATCACATGCTTCATGCCTGTATAATAAGGAGGAGCTTCCAAGATGACACAGAGTGGGAAGGAGGGCTTGGTGGATGCATTGGCTTCCTGTGGCTGATGTAACAAGTCCCCATAAATTGGGTGTCTCAGAACATTATCCATCTATTTTGGTACAACTCTGCAGTTCTGAAATCAAGGAGTTGGCAAGGCCACGGTCCTTGAGGCATTGGGATAGAATCTGTTTCATGCCTGTATCCTGCTTCTGGTGGCTGTCAGTCATCCTTGGCCTTATTTGCTTTGTGGCTGTTGCACTCCTATTCGGCAGTGTGTGTCTGTCCTCTGTGTGTCACTTGCCATCGGATTTAGGCCTCACTCTGATAATCCAGGAAGATCATATGTCTCAAATCCTAATTACCTCTGCAAAG